GCAGAGGCAGAGTGCTGCCAGAGACAGGGCATAAGGAGGGACATGCTGTGACATCCCACTGCTGTGCTGTGGGAGCTCTTCGCTAACATCTGAGGCCATCTCCCCAGCCAGAGCTGGGCTTAGCTGGAGCTCTTAGTGCTTCCCTATTTTAACCCGAGTTGTGCTGGCTAGTGAAATTTCTATATGCGGTCACTCTCCTTTTGAAGTCAATTCCTTTTATCACAGAATCACAAAATCATGAAATTACAGAATGGTTACTGCTGGAAGGGACTTCTGCAGGTTGTCTAGTCCAACCCCCCTGCCAGAGCAGGTTTATCTAGAGCAGGTTGCCCAGGATTGCATCCAGAGAGTTCTTGAATATCTCCAGTGAGGGAGAATCCACAACCTGTCTGGACAGCCTGTCCCAGTGCTCGGCCACCTGCACAGGAAGGAAGTTCTTCATCATAATCAGGTGGAACTTCCTGTGTTCCAATTTGTGCCCATTGTCCCTTGTCCTGTCACCAGGCACCACTGACAAGATTCTGGCACCATCCTCTTGACACCAGCCCTCAAGATACCTGTATGCATTGATGTGGTTCCCTCTCAGCTGTCTCCTCTTCAGGCTAAACAGGCCCAGCTTCCTCAGCTGTTTCTCTGAAAAGAGATGCTCTAGTCTCCTAATCTTCCTCTGCTGGACCCTCTTCAGTAATTCCTTGTCTTCCTTGAACTCAGGAGACCAGAACTGGACACAGCACCCCAGATGGGGCAGGGCAGACTAGTGGGGAGGGATTACTTGTTCTTTAAAACATCCAAGTCACTTCAAAGAACAACCTCTGCAGGACTCTAGCTATTCCTGGAGTTCCATGGTCCAGCAGAGGTTACACTGCCACTAGGAATATTGCTCCATGGCTTTGCCACAAAAGCCAGTTCTGTGGGATGTAATCTCTGACTCCTCTTTGTGTTCACTTACATGTTCTTTGCTTCCTAGGAGGGAAAAGGCTTCCTAGGCTAGGAAAATGCCAGGAGAGCAAAAGTTTGATGTATTAACTGATGATTTAGAGATCAGAGCCCTGCTTTGAAGAGGAAATGACATAAAATATGGATTGGTTTCTGTTGGCATCCTTTTTATAGACCTCCTCCTACAGCATCTTGACAGTATAGTTGGGTTTCAGTGGAATGGTCTCATAAAATAGCAAAGCTGACAGGGCTACTAGACTATGGAAAATATTTGTAATAAATACTAATGACCACTTGGGCTGTGAAAGATCCTCCATTTGGCACTTACAAAGCTCTTTGCAGACTCTTAGAAGTTACTGTAATTGTTACTTATGTCTGCAAACACTTCTTGAAGACAAGAAGACACAACCCAAAAAAAGGAGGCAGTCTACTGAGAAAACTTAATGTTTGAATGGTCTTCAATTAATATTTTCCACCAGCAAAGAAGCCATATCTGAAAGAGAGCTCTGTGCTTAGAGGAGGACAGGTCACAGAATCACAGAATCAATTAGCTTGGAAAGCACCTCTCACACCATCAGTCCAGCCTTTGATCCCCACCCTGCCAGCTACACCAAGGGGTGCTGACTGGCACAGCCAGTCTTTCCTTAAACACCTCCAGGGACAGTGACTCCACCATCTCCCTGGGTGGTCCAGTCCAATGTCCTCACCCTTTCTGTGAAGAAATTCTTCCTAATGTCCAACTGAAACCTCTCCAGGCACAGCTTAAGACTATGCCCTTTCATCCTGTCCCTACTTACTTGGGAGAAGAGGCAGACCCACACCTGGCTGCCACCTCCTTTCAGGTAGCTGCAGAGGAGGTGTGAAGGCATGCAGGTGTGAAGCACAGGGCTTGCTGACCTCAATGAGTTATAGTTCTTTGGTTGCAAGGGTTTCTCCCTTACAATAACTACTGGTGACTGTGCAGAAAAGCCATTAGAATTTCTCTTCATTATGTACAGGACCAGATATTGGGGTGACTGAAGCCTTTGAATGAGAAACTGGATTACAAAGAAGACCCTGTTTTAAGGAATCACTAACAAAATATGGGAAGCAGAATTATCATCTGTGCTGTGTGCATTAGTAAGCTTTCATCTTAAGGACAGTCTCAAGTTGACAAAAATGGAAAGGGAGCTGATATCAACAAATGTGAGGTCATTATTAAATCCTTGATGGTTTTAATAGGAAGGCCTTGTTTTTCTTACTGAAAAACTACAAAGAGACTCAGCTTCCTAATGTAAAGCTCATAACAGGTCATACTTGGGCAATAAGCAGGTGACACTTGTAAGAGCTGAACTTCTCCTGTCCCCTGCAAGGGAGAAGGCTGGAAACATGGGACATGTGTCCAGAATATTGACTTCTGCTGTGACACTGTGCTTCATTTTGCTGTCTCATCCCATAGAGAGCCAATCACTTGTTCATGGATCTCTGCTTTCTGAAGTTATTCCATTAAATGTTCATAACCTTCTGACAGAGTTATAGAATAGTTTGAGTTGGAAGGAACCTTTCCACTTGTCTGGGCAACCAGTGGCAGTGTCTTACCATCCTCCTCACAAAAAAATTCTTTCTTATATCTAACCTAAACAGGCTCTCTTTTAGTTTAAAACCATTAGCCCATTTTCCCACCAACAAGCCCTACTAAAAAGACTGTCTCCATCTTCAGCCACCCCATTTGTCTTTGCAGTACAGTAAGGTAGTGTGAGCCCTCATTGCAAGCAAAGTGATTACAAATAAACGTATAAATCTTATGTATTTGAAGATTGTAACCAATTCTTTGAGTGCTTGGGGCTTACAGCATTCTGCTGTGATAAGAAAAAAATATATAAAAATTTTCTTATCAGTAATTTCCACAAAGCTGTGCAACGGAGCAGGTGGGTGTTTGCACCTAGAACTTTGCCTTGTCTAACCTGCCTTTGTACCTTGAAGTTTTCTCTGCAGTCTTGTCTGGTAATACTGCTTCTCCAAGGGGAGCCAAATGCACTGCCTCTACCAACTATAGCCTGGGGGGGGGAACACACTATCAACAGCAGAAAGCTGTGTGGATCAAAACCAAGAGAAACACTAATGAATAAATGGGAGTGTTGACAAGGCAGTCTATAACACTGAGTCTAGCTGGGAGAAATGGCTGGCTGGCTTTGCCCAGCTGGAAGAGACAAAATGCTTGAGAGGTGTAGTTCCATTTCACAGGACCACCTCATACTCCTTACACTGGAATCAGTTTGTGCTAATACAACATTAGCAGAAACTGAAAAGTCCTCCATGATACAGCAGCAGCAGCTCCAGTTGCTGCAACCCCTCCAACAACACAATTAACAGAGGGAGCAGACCCCGAAAGATCCTCTTCCAAAGCCACTGCCATTACAGATGTTACACAATTTGTCTTAGAAATGCCTAAGTGCAAGGCGATTTGGAGCAAGAGTTTTAGGAGTGTTGCTCAGATAGCATTAAAGTGTTATAGCAGGCCCTGATTTAGGCATAAATTGATAAAAGGGACTTAAGTCTCCTTTTTACCTTCTGGAGCCAAAAGCAGCACCAGGACCCAAGGTCAGGCTCATGCTGCATGATGAGATAGAACTGCCCCTGCAGAGAGTCACTCTACAGAAAATGAAGGTATTTCAAAACCAATGTCAAATTATTTGTAATTCCTGGGTTTAGGAGCTTGTCTCGCTTGTATCTTGGAAGAGACGGTCAAAATTACTACTCCTGCCGACTGCAAGTGAGCATGAGTGTGTTTGGTCACATGTAAGAAAAAGGAGCCAGTTGACAAGAGTTTCAACACTGAGAAGTCTTGGTTCATGTACCTCTTCAGACTGGAACAAGGAGCCCATTTTTGTACTACTGCACTGGCCATCTGCTGTACCTACTCAAATGATCTCTACAGGCAGATTTGTGTGCAAGAAGAGAGTAAACAGCAGTTTGCCTAAACACAGGCATAAATATTCCAGCCACTCATCAAGGTTCTCTTGAGTTTTCTTCTCCAGCAGTTATTTCTGTCCACAGTCTCCACAACTGAGAGAAATCTGCTTGGTTTGCCCAGCTTCATTTGTAAAGAGAAAAATACAGAAAAAGCCACACAAGCAACTCTGAAAAGCAGCAAAATATATCTGAGCAAACTTCTGAAAGGTAACTCCAGAGTCAATGATGAATTTGCATCTAAAATGGATATTGAAAACATCCTTTTGCAAAGTACTTGCAGTGACTTGCAGTGACAGTAACAGCAATATAAGGTGATGCAAACAAAGTTATACATAGTGGAGAAATCACAAGTCCTAAGTGTGCAAATGCATGGTAATAATCAAACACTTGGTTTAAAAAGTAAAAAGCAGAAATACTTTGGTCTTAAATACTTCAGTTCCCGAACTCCTCAGAAAGCCCTTTATCAAAAAGACAATATTTTCTTTTATACCATGTCAAATATTAAGTGTTATTAGGAGAGCAAAATATGATTTATTGATGGAAAAGTTGAAACAAAATGGAACATATCCAGGGATGGAAAGTGTTTTGCTGAGGGTTATTCTGTTTTGAAATAAAAATAAAGAGGCTAAGATAATTTTAGGGTTTCTCTCATAGAGTAGGAAGCCATGAAGTACATTTAAATTCTTTTAATTTTGCCTGGAAATTCAAGTTTGGATATCCATCTCCACTTGACACATACAAGAGGGAGGGAGAGATAAAAATCACGTAGTGAACTTAGAACTCAGCCGAACACTTAATCTCCCCTTTGTTTAACGACCCAGAAGCTCGGCCGCCAACCCCCTTGCACACGGGGCAGAACGCTCCGGACGCCGGCAAGGGCCACGCTCGCCTTTCAACACCAGCAACTTTCCCAAAAGCGATCGCCGATTTAAACGTCTCGTCCGCGCTTTTCACCTCAGAAGTGCCCCCCGTGGAGCGAGTCGAGGCAAACATGGAGTAGCTGTCCTTTCACCCGGCAATATCCGACATCCCCCGGCCTGCCCCGCCGCCCGTCCTGCCCTCACCCCGGCCCCTGCCGCCGCCGGGGATCGGGGGCGCCGGGCTGCCCTTACCTGTGCCGCGCCCTCCCTCGCAGCCCCTTCTCCGCCTTCCTTCCTTCCTTCCTTCCTTCCCCCTCCTCCGGGGGGTCTCGCTGCCGGCCCGGGCAGCGCCGGGGGCAGGACCCTGCAGCTGCGGCCCCCGGGGATGCGCCGCGGCCGCTCCAGATGTTTGCGGCGCGGCCGCCCAGATGTTCCCCTGGCGGCCCCGCGGGGGGCGGGCGTTCTCCTCCCCGCCTGGCCGGGAAAGACCCAGAGCAGAGCCAAAGGAAAGGGGCTCGGGGAAAGCGAGGCTTCCGCGGGATCCGGCGCTGCCCGCCCCCTCTCCTGCCCCGCTTTCCAGGAAAAGCGGCCGAGAGCGGGCAGGGCTGGCGCGGGGCTGGCGGCCGAGGACAGCGGCTCCCAGTAGCCCGGCAAGGCGAGGAAAAATAGAAAAAGTAGAGAGTCAGACATACAAACCTTCCTTTGATCGCTGCATATAACAGAGGCCTTTTTTTTATTTACACATACACTGACAGCCGTGGCTTTCTCCACGAAAATGAGCACCCATGGCTGTAATTCCTGTAATTTAGCAGGAATTTATGGTACAGCGCTGAATCCAAAAGAAGAATGTCTAAAAATAAAATTTAAAGAACGAAACCACGGCTTTATTTGCAGATGTCATCCTGTAGTAAAGAAGTAAATAAGTGACATTACAGAATCGTTCACAGTGTAACGAAGGGCATCTCACACTGCATCACCTCTCTTACAACCACCAGAAAGAACACCAATGAAAGCCTCAAATTGTGGAAAAATCCTCCTTTGAGGTATTTGCCAGGAAGTTGTGATAACCGGGTTTTGAAGTTCTGTTTAAACTACACCAGAAGACTCCCTTGACCCTTTTCCACCCCTGTCAGCATCAAGATCTTGATTCCCCTGCGGCTGTAGGAATAACCAAGCCAAGGTGCTGCTCTCCCTACCAGTAAGTCACAACTTGGACTGAATTCTGAGACACTTCCCTCAAGTCCCCTAATTTAAGATTTCTACTTTCATGATACAGAAACATTTTTGTGGAAATTGGTGGGGGAAATCAACTCCATATAAGGATTAAAACTTTTTCACACTCATCTTCTTAGGAAGCTGCATCCACGCCTGCTCTTTAGGACAAAGTGACACTTTCACTCTTAGATAAATAGTACTCCAGCGAATACCCCTCAGCATCTGGCAAGCAGATGCCTTTGCAGGTTGGATGATGCAATGAGTACAGAGAAAAGGGCAAAAATATTTCCCAGAAGGACCACCTCTCTGTAAACAGTGCTTCAAAAATCCAGCCTCCATGAAAGCTGCTTCCTGGTCTGAGTGACTTTTTCTGCATTTTTTTTTTCAGACAGCAGAATGCATTTTACATCACAACATTAATCCCTACCTAATGGATATCCTTGTCTTGCAGGAGAGTTTTCATAGACTGAGCTTATTCAGTCAGTAATACTGATAATTGTAATAACCTCTTCTATTTACCACTGGTTTGATGTTTGTCTTGGCAGTGGAGCAACAATTGCTTCCTGGGATTCCTCATTTCCATCCACACTTAAAATGACATAAAAGTCAATCTAAGTGACAACCAATGTTGCCAATGTAAAAAACTCCAGCTGGCATCCCCGGGGCCCTGCAGGGATCCCGGACTTCTTCGAGTCAGTGTGCATCAAAGTAACCGCAGAGAAGTGCATGCATAAAATATTCTACAGAACTGCTGGAGACTATAGAAATAACAAAACATCTTTTGTGATGTTTTTACCTAAGGTCAGCAAAAGGATGACAGTTCTGCCACATTCATTCAAGTTCAGACGTTCCTTCATTTTGACCTTACTCTTTTTGCCTTATTCCAAAGTTACTTAGGAAATTAATGCAATGCTCCTTTTGCAGACTTGGGATCCATGCTTGACACACAGGCAGGCAACTGAGCTCTTCTCTTGCTGGAGGAATGGGGCATCCAAACAGCATTTGTTGGTTTTTTCCCTGCTGATATTGAGCATTGCATCTGAAGCAAGGAGGTAAAATCTTATTTCATAGCAAAGCCTAAATGATGTGAGATGAATTTGCAAGTAGTGCTTGATCCACTTTCCACAGAGGTTAGCTTAATGAAACATCCCATGGTCAAATGCCTGTGGCTCCAAGACCCACAGGTCCATTACATTGCATTTAGTGTAGTGCCCAGTGCTTTTACTTCATCAGAATTATCACAAATACCAGGCACTAAAATCAGCCATGAAGTCACACAGCTATGCCTTGATCCAAATAACTCATGAGCACATTACAGACAAATTAGAACTCTAGATGTTTTAGGATTATTGTAACATCTGCATTTTGGCCCAGAAGGCAAAACTGCCCCTGGGGGCAGGTGAGCTGGTTTCAGCCTGGGCACTTGAGGGAACACTACTCTACAAATCCAGACATGTTTCTGGGTGAAAACTGAAGTGAAATGTTGACCTACTCCCCTGAACACTTGGAATCCAAGGGTTTTGTTGGCTGTTTGTAGATATCTTTGCAGCACCGCACCTAATTTATAGCTGAGGGAGTGAAGGCCGCCCCACCGTATAAGTGAAAAGCAGGTTCAGGACCATCTGATGAAGGTCAAGAGCCATGAGTGTCTAGGACCTGGTGGTATGCATCCCAGGGTCCTGAGGGGACTGGCTGACGTTGTTGCCAAGCCACTTTACTTCATATTTGAAAAGTCACAGTGGTCAGGCGAAGTTCCCAGTGACCGGGAAAAAAGGGAAACATTGCTCCCATTTTCAAAAAGGGGAGAAAGGAAGATATGAGGAATTCTTTACTCAGCATTCTTTACTGTGAGGGTGCTGAGACACTGGCACAGGTTGCCCAGAGAAGCTGTGGATGCCCCATCCTTGGCAGTGTTCAAAGCCAGGCTGGATGGGGCCCTGAGCAACCTGGTCTAGCAGAAGATGTCCCTGCCCATGGCAGGGGGGTTGGAACTTGATGGTTTGTAAGGTTCCTTCCAACCCAAACCATTCTATGATTTTATGAAATGTACCATAGAAGTAGAAGGCTGATAAAATAATAGCTATCTGGATAAAGTGCCCAGAAAGCTAAACAAATAATTCTGGCCTTGCAAAGTTCATGCAACAATTGAATAAAGAGAAATACATGCACTTGCTATGATTTCAGAAAAAAACACAAACATTGACATTCTGGTTTTAATACAACTTCTAACATCAAAATAAGTAAAAAGTGAATTTGAATACAAAGACCCATATTACAAAAGTCCATTCTTTGGAGTTCTATTAGGGATATTTGCTCTTGCATGGACTTTGAAGGTACACGTTTCAATCTGTAAAGTTTAAAAATGCTTCCAGGCTTAATCCCATCATCTGGTGGCGGGGGGATGAAATTTCTAAGGTTTTTTTATGTTAATAGTTATTAGCTATATTTATGTTGTCTCCTTTTTGGTTTTTTATGAGTAGCCTATAAGACCTTCATAAGAAACTTTCAAAAGGGATACTTTTTCTGAGTTTATATCCTGTCAATGCAATGTCTCAAGCTGATTTCTAGCATATAAAAATGTAACACCCCCCCCCCCCCCCCCTTATGAAAGTCTTTCATCTAGAACAACATGCAAAAACAATCATGGTGATAAAAAGTCAGCAGAGCTCAGCTTAACACTATCTGCATGAACAGAGGAACTTCAGGAGAATTTCCTGAAACAATCTATAATTCACAGGTAATTGGCTATGGTTCAAGTTAATCAGAGTCCTTTGAACTAGTCTAGCAATTTGGCATGGAGAATCTAGTGTAATAAAAGCCAGAAATGCCAGGAGTAGTAACAGTAAAAACTTTCTCCCCAGATATTCCTATTCCTTTATTAGGATGATGAAGAATGGAGAAATCTGGGAAAAGCAGAAAGTTGTTTGCAGGTTCCAAATGTTTTTCTTCTCAGAATTTCAGTTCTTGAACCAAATATGTCTGAACCCTGAGAGCTGTGCAGGTGAGCTTGTCTGCAGTACTGTGTTGCTTTTGTGTACATGTTAAACCATGACACAAATGCATAAAAAAAGATTGAGCCCTTTCCCACAGTGCCGAGCAAGAATCTTTACTTTTCCTTGTCTCATTGGGTATCAGCTAAATGAGAGAAAATATGATTTTAAAGCTGCAAATATCAACACAGAGCTCTGAAACTCATCTCTGAGAATGTGGAATGGAACTTCTTTGTACTATATTCCAGCTCATGATGCAAGTTTTGTGTTAGAAAACAAGAAATTATTCATAATGATGAAAATGACCTGGCATTTTTTGATGAAAGACAGTCAGCAATAGAATAGTCAAACAAGTTTACAAGATGTAACTTCTAAATAGCATCAGGCAGTGGAGACTCATCTGGTGTGCTCACTCATGGTCAAATATCAAGCCAAGTCCTAGCTTATCTGGGACAGGGAAATCTAAGGCAGAGGGCTGTGGGAAAATGGAGTAATCTACTAATAGAAGAAAGAAATGACAGCTGAAAGAACTAGAAACTCTCCCTGCTTCTATCAAGTTCCTTAGTCACATCTAGGTGAGATATCTACATGTCTGACTTACGGTTTCTTGTTTTTAGACACCTGGTAGGAGACATTTAGGTTATAGATTTATAGAAGCACCCAGCACTCAGAACAGTAAATGAAGTCTGCTGCATCAGTTAGTTAAATCATAAAGTATTCTGAACAAATGCCAGAGCCCATGGAGTATTCCAAGAAACTTCATCAAATTGCAATAAAAAGTTCCCAGTTCCCTGGAAATAGTAGCTTCTCACCTTTAGGCACACTGTGATGATAAATAATCAGAGGCTGCAGGGACGCCACCCCAGAAAACCTCATGAAGAAGCTGTCAGCTCCAAATTCAGCACGGTGTCTGGGTTAGGTGGTGATAAACGGGGCTTCTAGTCACACACTTGGTCCAGGAAATGCAGAGACCAGCTTCATTCTCAGACACTGTCCTGAGTTTACACTGAATGAGGCGCTAGTCCTGTGGGAAAAATAGTATGCAGCCAAACAATTAAATCATGTCACATAATACACGTTGTGTGGAGGAAGGGAAAAGGCAGCCTTAGGTCTGGATTTGTCCAGCACTTAAGAGTTTAACTTTGTAAACCTAGGGAGGTTCTTTCCCTATTTTTAAAAGTTGCAGTTTTATCTTCCTCATTGTTTTGTTAATTTTTGGTCTCTCAGTCTCTCTGGCTCAGTTGCTGACATTCTGCACGTACCTCGGGTGAGTCAGGAGAGTTAGCTGGGAAAAGGCATCGGGGTGAACAACCCTCTGGACAGAGACACCAGGCAGAAAGAACAGGATGGGGAAACCGGCCAGTTAAGCAATGATATGAAAAACATCAGCTGTAGCCCAGCCTAGGGAGAAAGAAGGAAAAATTCTTTTTCAGCAGGAGAGGGAAAGTGAGAGCTGGAGTGCAGCTGTGGAAGGTGAGAGTGGAGTGATGAGGAGGCTGGAAATCCAATGTCACTGCATAGGCATTGCCTCCTGTGGCCCTTCTCCCTTGGCTCTTCTGCAGCACTGCAGGAAAATGTCCTCCTGCTTGCTACATGTGGTTGTTGTACCAGCCTTCATCC